ACTTCAAGATGAAGTGCTGCTGATTTATTTATATAATTTGCTTAGCCATCATTATCCGAATATGGAATTATCACGGGTTGGTTATCTAAGAAACAACAAAGCTTAGGAGTAATTTGGCTGAAAGGGTCATGTTTATTTTGTCCATTTGGGTAACTATTGGATGAAAGCGTGAATTCATCAGGGCTTTTAAAAAGAGAATCAACTATTTCAAATAAAAATATAATAACTGTTGAAACAAACAAGTTTTTATTATGTAACCATCAAATTCAAGTATGATGGCTTAAATGGACTGTGTCAAAATGCATGTTGTGATGTCTGCAACTGTGGTAAAAATAAAGATGCACAACATTTAACTATACTGGATAATAAGTATTCATTAGAGATAATAACGTTTCATATACGTTTGGAATTCACCGTGTTTTATTTAAAGGTCTCTCTCTCTCTCTCTCTCTCTCTCTCTCTCTCTCTCTCTCTCTCTCTCTCTCTCTCTCTCTCTCTCTCTCTCTCTCTCTCTCTCTCAAAGTTAGAAAATTATTGATAATAAATATTTTTTGTTTTACAGCTCTCCTGATAGCGATATCGGTGACTCTTGCTGTGATTCTAATTATAATGACAGTAGTAACTATATTGTGCTGTAAGAAGAAAATTGCTGATAAATGCGGTTGTGGAAAGGTAGAACATACATACATACATACATACATACATACATACATACATACATACATACATACATACATACATACATACATACATACATACATACATACATACATACATACATACATACATACATACATACATACATACATACGGGGCAGGGCAGGGCAGAGCAGGGCAAGGCAAGGCAGGGCAAAGCGTGGCAGGGCTGGGAAGGGCCGGCAAGGCAAGGCAAGGCAAGGCAGGGCAGGGCAGAACAGGGCAAGGCAAGGCAGGGCAAAGCGTGGCAGGGCTGGGAAGGGCCGGGCAGGGCAGGGCAGGGCAAGCTAAGGCAGGGCAAGGCAAGGCAAGGCAGGGCAAGGCAAAGCAAGGCAAGGCAAGGCAAGGCAAGGCAAGGCAAGGCAGGGCAGGGCAGGGCAGAACAGGGAAAGGCAAGGCAGGGCAAAGCATGGCAGGGCTGGGAAGGGCCGGGCAGTGCAGGGCAAGGCAAGGCAGGGCAAGGCAAAGCAAGGCAAGGCAAGACAAGACAAGGCAGGGCAAGGCAAGGCAGGGCAGGGCAGGGCAGGGCAGGGCAAGGCAAGGCAATGCAGGGACGGACAGGGCAGGGCAGGGCAAGGCAAGGCAAGGCAGGCAGACAGACAGAAAGACATACAATTATTTCCTATCTACAATTACTGTACCTGTATCAGATTTCCATATGTATTCATGTAATTGTTCAGTTTTATACCACTTCAGGAACTAAAACTCGTAAACACTAATGACAATCACTTTTTCTTGGTAATGGAGAATGCATTACAAAAATATGCCACAGTCTTCTTTGCTTCGTTTCAAGTTTTTGTCTGTTATGTGTTTTGTTTTATATATATATATATATATATATATATATATATATATATATATATATATATATATATATATATATATATATATATATATATATATATATATATATATTAGTGAGGATTTTTTAAAATAGTGTTTGGTGTTTAAAACTGCACTTCAACACTCAAAACTCAATAACGTCGAACTATATAGCACTGCATTTCAGTATCCTAAACAGTACTACCCCAATATCATATCAAACGCTTCATCACAACAAACGTAACAAAATGAAAGTGAAATCAGCTGAACTACTCATTACAGTGTTCATCAGCACAATTAATCGCCATGCAATGCGTTTAAATTTTTTCGCCTTGATACGCTACAAAGAATATCTGACTAAACGTAACAGAATTACAGTGAACTACTTTACTTCAGCACAAAATATTAGACAATATTGATCAAGCCCGCACATTATTTCAGATAAAATGTTCTAAACAGTCAGTTTATGTACAAAACGGTTTGATAATCTTAGATTTTTTTATATTTAGGGGGCAATATATCCCTTATTGTCCGAAATCGGCTTTGAAGGTGACGGAGTGGATACAGAAAAATCTGGGTTACATATAGAGTTGGAGATTGAGAGGAGTGAAGAGAAGAAAGAGGCAAAGAGAAAAGAACTCAAAAGGAGGAAGAAAGAGAAGAATGAGAAAAAAGAGAAGAAGCGTAAGAAGCGTGAATCTGAATTGCGTTTTCTTGCAAAGCAGCAACGAATGAATGACATAAACAGGTTCAGAGTTGCGGGTTATGCTGCAAGCGCATTTCGTCCTCCTGTCATGCGACCCTACTACTCAGGGAGTGGACAAGAAAATTATTATATTCCTGGCCAAAACATGTATGATCAGCAATTACCCCTTACAGGCAGCATTTATGGTTACCCAGCTGGTCAAAATCTGAACTTTCAAAACGCTCCCCCGGCAGGCGTCCAATCATCTTCTACATCTCTTTCTACAGATGGCAATTATAAAAATGCATACGTGACACCCACATCGCTGCGTCGACACCCACCGGCAATGTCAGTCTCTCAGACGGCCAGTGAAGGTCCCCTTATCTTTCACACCGGACAGTTTGGAAGCCAGTTTGTTCCCCAGGGTTCAATTTACGAACCTTATGAAAACCCAGCTTTAAGGCAGTGGAGAGTGGCGGGAATGGCGGCCACTTTTGCAAGTCATCCACGAGCTGGACGACACTCTGTTGAAATAGGTAGCGTTGACAATCCAAGTGAAAGTGAAAGTAGTCAGTCATATGATGATAGCATCGTTTGAAAGAATGGATTGACTTATCAGCTTTTGGCCTATATATACTTTTATCTTCTAGCCTTTGATTACAATGTGTTTCAATGTTGATAATAAATATACATTATACTCCAACACAAGAAAAATTAATATCAATTTCATATTAACGCTTTCCTTTATTTTTAATACTGTGTGAACTTTTTGCCGAAGATGTCAGTTTGTCACACGTGGTTGTTCCTGCAAATTAATTGGTGTAGGAAACGTAGTAAATTCTAATTAACTATCATCATTCTGGAAATTAGTTTTAATAAAAACTTGATTACATTAGTATCTAGCGCTTAGTCAGCAAGTTTTCGCAAAATTAGTCTACCTTGTTTATACAGTCAATAAGAAGTTATTCGGAATGAAAATGATGACAATTTGTAGCCAGATGTACAGGCACGCGAGTTTACAAAGAATATCAAACGATTTTGTTTAAATTTTGTTTTATTTCTCTTTTATTTTGCTTTGTTTTTGTTTTAACAGGACAGTAAAATCAACTTTTTTAACACAATTAAACGAGATTTATTCATTAAAAAATTAAATAAATTACAAGAAAATGATTTATAATTATACTTTTGCTTAGAGCAATAGGCTACATCGATTTTGCATAAGCTAACATTCATTTCCATATTGCACATGCAAAGTAGTATAGCATATTGGTAATTTAACTTATCTCTCTCTCTCTCTCTCTCTGTCTCTCTCTCTCTCTCTGTCTCTGTCTCTCTCTCTCTCTCTCTCTCTCTCTCTCTCTCTCTCTCTCTCTCTCTCTCTCTCTCTCTCTCTCTCTCTCTCTCTCTCTCTCAAATACTGAGTTTTTAACGGTTTTGAAATAACGATCAAAGAGAAACAGTAATAAAAACAGCATTCACAGGAAACAAAACAGATTCAATGAATTAGAGAAAAAGAGACAATTAACAAATACTTCCTTGGATGACAGTAACTGATTTTGATTTTCAGAATTTAAAATCTTCACTTAGTTTTAATCCTGCCATAACAAAAATAAGAGCAATTTAATATTTATAATATAGAAACAATAATTTTATTTATAAACAATCATATAAAAATTCATCAATTAGCATATTTCGTATACAATTTCACCATAATATTTTAACTAAAGTGTTAGTAGTCAATAACTAATGAAATTTCAAGGAGTTTCCACATTATTATGTTGGAATGCTTTTAGAGTCCATACTTGTGAGACAAACATTTGGACCATTTCTTTATTGCATATTCTGGTAGCGAACTTTTTAGAGTGATTGAAATCTGGCAGAAATACGTGGGAGCACCGGATTGCCACAAACTTATTGTACAAGTCATATCTTGTCGAAACGCAAAACGACATTGCTGATAATTAACTTAGGTAAGTTACACCATATTAACAAATGCGACGTCGAAATGTTCATAAACTCGCAATATACATGTTGTTTTAAAGGATCAAAATGGTTTAGCTACTGAAGAAGGAAAGTGTTATAACTTAAATATTTGACGAAAGTTTGGAATTTCTATAACATTTATTGACTTTTTCTTTGTACAATATTCGACTGTTTTGTCCGGGGATTTGATGGCTCTCAGATTCGCTTTCATTCTTAAAGACGAGTATAATTTAATTCAATAAACAGTTCCTCCTGAAGGGCAGTCTGTGTGTAATTGAAAAATGTAAGTATTTTGTTTCCACTTGTGTACTTTATCTCCACCCAAAACGCCAAATTCTTTCAGCATTACTAAAGCGTCTTCTTGTGCATTGTTAAATTACAATCAAATGTATAATTTTGAAAGTTTATCTTTTATTTTCAGCTGATCTGAAATCAGATTTTATAATGACAAAATTACAACTTAGAAAATTTTAATTAAATTTTTGTTATGGCAGTTTATAGCTTCTTAACGCTTTCTGTTACATGCATTATGCTTTTGTCATCAATTTAATAATTTTGCATGAATCTCTTTTAATCTCTGGAGTTTTTCTTTGAAGTTTTTATTGCTCAAAATCAGGAATAGTAGAAGTCTTTTAATATATGATCAATGATGGGATACATTAGGAAGTTACTGATGCTGCTGTTGTCCATGATGGTGATGATGATGATGACGACGACGATGACGATATCAAGAAGAAGAAGAAAAAGAATAAGAATAAGAAGATAAATACTACATATGCAAATACCATTTCTCTTTTTCTTTTACATATACAAAGACCGCTCCGGTGGCCTAGTGGCTAGAGCGCCCGCCTCAGCTGTGGGAGGTCGTGGGTTCGATCCTCGGCTGAGTCTTACCAAAGACTTACAAAACTAGTGCTAACAGCTGCCTCGCTTGTTAGTGTTGGGACTAGTTGGCCTTATGTCAGAATAATGTGACTAGGTTGGACATCATGCTACATGTGTGATGCATGATGCCCCAGTGCTAGACATCACTATAAACTGCCACACTGCAGACATCGTAGCGACATGACTGGAAAGTGGTAGAAGCTACATTAAACATCCAAATCACATCATAACATACATTACATTTACAAGTGTATCTATGTCCAGGTTTAATGCAAACTGAATTAAAATAATGGTCTTTCTGAGACAATCTAATACCCTAATAGTGTTTGCAGATTTGCCTTATATCCGTCTTCTTCTGTTCATCCTCGTTATTCCTTGCAACCTTATTTCCATAGCACTGATTGATAATGAGTGACTATGTTTGTTGGGCTATAACTGGATTAACAAGGTTTACACACCACACACCGCGCTGAAGCGACGGACTATGAACTAATCAATGGAATTCAGAAGGAATTTCCAAACTAGCCGTTATTTGGGTTAGGCCGTTATTTTGTCAAGTACATCAAACATAATCAATTTAGAGTCAGAGAATTTAAACTCAAGTCATCTATTTTATAATGAGTACTTCTCTTACAATATATGATCAATGAAATCATTAAGAGGGTTAAACAAGAGTCAAATGAATCGACATACCGATAGAATAGGTGTTATCACATTACGTGCATACTCATATGGGATATCTAGAAGGCCAACATGTTTTTCTTTTCTTTGGCAGTGTATTGTTTCAAGAATTGCAAATAAATCTACTAACCTACTAGAATAGACAATAGATAAGAGTAAATCTACTAACCTACTAGAATAGACAAAAGATAAGAGCTTGTGTAATAACATGGAAAAGACCGATGTTAGACTACGTCGAGTAATCACGTAGAGAGACAATCACAAAACGTTTACGACAAAATATAGTCATTGGTTTAATTAGTGTTTGATGATCACTGAAACTAATATTTCAGTTCAGATTAAACCGAAAACAGTTAAAACCCAGAAATAAATTCCACGCAAACAGATAACATGAAAAGGATATATATGCCCTCACCAAAGGACGTTTAAAAAGATACAAAGGTAATGATAATTATTCAATGATATATATATATATATATATATATATATATATATATATATTTATATATATATATATATATATTTATATATATATATATATATATATATATATATATATTTATATATATATATATGTTATGTGTGTGTATATTTATATATATGTATATATATATATATATATATATATATATATATATATATATATATATATATATATATATATATATATATATATATATATATATATATATATATTAAAGGCAATATAGTTGTTGTAAGTATCCAAAAGACCACGTATCTGTTGCAAGTATAGTAAGGACAAATATGTATAGTAAACAAGGAGAAGCATTCAAAGATTACTAAAACTTGTTTCTGATGAGGATGTTGTTGTGCTTAAAAGTTAAGATTTTAGTTGAAAACAGGTAAAGGAAAATGTAACAAAAGATAACTAGTCATGACTTGAACATCAATAATTTAAAACATGTATGAACGCTCGTAAAACTAAGCGTTAAGTTAGCTAGAGTTTCTCCTATTTAGAGGAATGAACATTTGTTTGCAAAACAGTTTTGACAAATATATATCAATCACATTTATACTAAAAAAATATGTAAAGTAACCAACGCAATGGAAAATTTGAATGCCATATCCAAAAGCAGACATTGACATTATAAATGGACATGTTAGAGCATTTCAGAAATAAAATAGAATGTCAATGATGATTATAAAAGATCAAATCTTTTAGAGAACAACATATTCTTATTGGTCAAGAATAAATTCTCCGCGGAATTATTCAAACAACACAAAATTAAAAAGAAAACTCTTACAAGCAAACAGACATAAAGCAACGGCTTCCAATAAAAAGCAAACAAAAACAACTAATAATGAAGACGTGTATATGTAAACTTCAGGCTCAAAACTCAAGCAAATGGAGGCCGAATATCCTTAATTTTGAAAAACAATACAGAAGACTAGCAATTCTAATCACAGATATAAACATCTAATTACAGATCACAAATAGCGAAATCACTAAAATCATGTCGCACTGGAAACCTAAGCAAAATCCCTAATAGCTGGTCATACTGGTAGCCTAAGCAAATTATAACGATGTCGATGATACCATCGTTAATAAATATGCATAAAATAAACTCATTGAAAGCAAATATCGCAGTCTGCGAAGTTAACATGACAAACACAATCATTATTTAAGCACACATATGAAGACTTTTTTTCTGGAAGAAAAATCCAGAAGTTTCTTTCAAAGGGATACAAATTTTAATTTTCCACAAAATGGTTTTGAACTTTATCTTATGAATAAGTTAAACAAAATTAAGGAATAGACACCCAAAATTGAGTTTGAGTTGCATCAAAGGTCCATGTTGTAGCCGTAGCCAGTGATACTGATGACAAGAAAATTATTTTCTACTTCAACGAAATTAAAATACTAAATTTAAATTAAACAAAAAATTGATAAATAGGTAAGCAAATGATATTTATTTAAGTTATTATTCTTTCCAGAAGAATGTTTACATAATCTAGTCAGTAAAGTAAATATCAAAGTGATTTGCATTTCTTAAAACCGTCACAAGAGCATTGTTTACGTTTTGGCCTCTTTTGTCTGTCTAGTTTTGTGCAAAAATCAAATAGTACATTTTGGAGTTAAATCTCGTATTAACATTCCCATATTGTCAAAATAATGATCGATAAACACTAATATGATACTGTTTCAAAAGTTGCATCAGCAATCTAAATATTTAAAATTCACAATGGTCTTAACACAACATGCTATGGATAAGCTAATGTCTTAACTTTGCTGTACGCTCATTATCTTTTGCGCTCAGCCATGTTTGCAAAATCATTTGGGTCAGTCTGATTACAGCTGGTTTAGGGTCATAAATCGATTTTCGCTCAGTCGAATCCGATTGAAATCTATCAGCGCCGATTCCCATTCTACTGACATTTTATTAAATTTGTGATTGGTATTCTAGATTTATTTGCATAACTCATTACGACGTCATGTATATTATGTCCCATTTTGATCATATGCATCTCTTAATGCGCATTTTCTACCTTTCTAAATTTGATCACATTAAAATAATTGTTACTTTATAACACAAAAAACGGAGGGAATAAAAGACTTTGCACCATGACTGATTTAATTCTTATAAAACCTGGTCGCTCCAGTCGATTTCGGATAGAATTACGAACGAATGGGAATAATCCTAACTATTGTTGCAGTCTATTATTACTGTTTAGTTGCCATGGAATTTAGATGTCAAGCGTAAATCTTTTAACAATTTAGCTTGATGACCTGCTTGTTGGTCCAGAGATAATCAATTTCGAAGCAATGTAGCAGCATCAAGCGGTCGTTATGCTTACGTTTACTTACGAAGACTTAGAATCAACTAGTAAGAGATAGGAGTTGGTCTCACGTGGCTATTTTTTCTTTTCTTTTTTGCTTCATACCGAGACTGCTTGAGGAGGTCCTAAGACGTATAAATGGACTTGCAGCGTGCTATTGATACGAAACCGTTTTGCAGCCCTGGTGGTCCTGCAATGCCGGATTTAGACAAAGCGAAGCCCTAAGCTATGGAAAGCTATAGAGGCCATATTTGGTATAAAATAAACTTATGGAACCAATTCAAACTGAGTTCAGACTTTGGGGCCCTAAACTGTAGCTTGTTTAGCTTATGCCTAAATCCGGTACTTTGGTCCTGTCAAGTCAATGTCATGTTTGACTAAACTTTGTGCAGTGTCTAGTCTTTCTTTGACATTTATGACAATTCTTTAGTATCCTTTTGATTTAGTTTGATAGAAAGTCGCATGTCTTAGGGATCCAATGTATTTACTCTGAGCCAGATGTGTAATTATTATTGAGAATAACGAATCATGTTTGTGGCCGATTCGGAGGCAAGAGAGGTTAGTAAGGTCTAATTCATGACCTTAAGTTTGACCCTTGTAATCGCACAGAGAAGGGTGCTTTTTCAGAGGCAGAAGCAGTGTAACACATCTAAGGTGTATTATTAGTGTTTATATATCCATTATGTCTTATATTCGAGTGATTATTTGATTGACCATGTGGAATATGTTATGATATTATGTTTATCATAGGCAGTTACCAAGACCAGGCGTAATAATGTACAATACACATGGGACTTTATGGTGGTGCAAATTAGTTGCCTAAACTGGATAAGTAAAATAAATAATTCAGTTTTAAGTATACATAAGAATCTGAGATGGAGTAATTCTTTGTATTATGTTTGTGGTTTATGATACATAGCGCGAATTACCAATCTAAGACTTGGAAAGGCCAACTTTAATTATCATACTCTTACGATTATATGTTGCCTCCCACCCCCTCCCCGTCTTCCCACCACACCATACTGGTGTGATCCTATGTGTCACATTCCATTGTATGTTTTAATTATATTCACTCTTTCTTATCAGGTAAAAATATTAAAGATGTCATGTCTGACTGTTGTTACTACCTGACTAGCAAAATGAAATGGTTGTCAAAATATCTCTCATTAAGTTTGAAATGTATCCATTAAAGACACCAGTAACTAATGTAACGTTTTTAATTATCATCGATAACCCTCCAGGCATCCTATATAATATACTGTCTCACAAATTAACGTTTCAAGTCACATGTACATGTAGCACATAACCATTTTTTGAAAGAAATATGATTTACCTGGATACACTACCATTAGCGAAACAAGAATAGATCACAAACCATATGAATCCTCTTGCCCGTGTTGGCATCAATGGGTGGATAAATGCATGGACAGAGAGACTTCTGAATAAATTAACCGATTTTGTAAACGAACTGATAGATGAATAGGAATTAAAAAGTAAAAATAAAATTGAAAATAGTTCTTGGTCTT